GTGTTCGGGGCTTACAAGTCCGACGCCGCCGATCGCCAGATCGGCGACCGACGAGGGGCCAACGGCTGCGAGGGCCGAGTTGACGGACCTTCAAAACTGTTGCCGCCCGGGCAGATGCTCACGTGCATCACTACCAAGCCGGGTACGAAGATCATCGGGGCTAGTACTGATCGGGCTGATTTTTACCATCAGGCAAAGGTATCTTGTTCAAAGGCCGAGGGAAACGCTGCCGGTCCTAGGCTTCGTTTGGAGGATTTCGAGGGCACTGAGACTCTGCGTTCTGCTAGAGCGCTTGTTCGGTCTGAACTCGCGAGACCGCGACCCTCACGGCCCCTTGCGTCCGTCCTAGAGGAAGCCCGCTTGGTTTCCCCGGCTGTGCTGCCCCGCCATCTTTTCGACCCAGAGACGCCTGCCTACGGCTGTTTTCGATCAGTCTATCAAGGCGACCATGTTGGAGTAGAATACGGGACGGAGGCACACGGGAACCTTCTTGAGGAAGGAGGGTTGCTCCTCCCACCTACTCGTCTGCTTGCAAAAAGGGCGCCGTCTCGACTTGGCCCCTGGGAGGGTCTGATTATAGACGATTACTACTGCCTCTCCTCAGAGCCTGCATCTGCTGATCCAGCCTCCTCCGAGGCCACCCGCCGTGTCAGAGCAGCCCACGTGATCTATGAGAGGGATCAGGTTCAGGGCTCCCCCCATAAGGATATCCTTGGGGCTGACTTTATAGTGTGCGCAGGGGCCCAGGTTGATTCTTCGGATAAGGTTGTTAAGGCCGGTTGCTGCTTCGTTTCAGCCGCAACTCCGAAGCTTCTTGCTCTTTCGGTGATCAGCTTGAAGACTGCAGCGATGCCCGCCATCTCCGAGGAGCTTGCCTCAAATCTCGCTGGGTCCTGGATCTCCGCTCTGATGTTCAGGAGACCGCTCTTTGCCGTGCTCGATGGCCTTTTTGGGCTCGGTAAGTCCTCAGCCCAGGCCTCTGGAAGTGGCCTTCGTTTTCTCCCGAGGAAGGTTGCCCAGGAACTCGTCGTCCTGGCTTCGCTTGCCCCTGTCCTTCTCAGCAATGTTGCTGCTCCTTTCTGTGACAGGGTATTCTGTTCTGATGCCTCGATGAACCGTGGAGCGACGTGCTCTACCAAAGTGCCGGAGGAGGTGGCAGCCTCGCTCTGGCTAGCAGCCGAAAAGAAGGGATGCTACACAATGCTCGACGGCGGAGCAACAAATTGCATTCCCCCTGATTCCGACCACGAGGACGGAGAGCTTGAAGTTGCAGCCAAAAGGCCCCTCGCCTTTGACTTCGATGTTCTCCTCATCTTCGAGGGAGCTGCCGGATTAGCTGTTGCCGCAGCGGAGAAGGGCCTTAGATGCTCGCCGGTTATAGACCCTAGGCACTCCCCTGAGTACGATCTTCGTAGGTTAGCAGTTTTCGAGTGGGCCCTTTACTTGATTTGGGCTGGGAAAGCCCGCAGCATTGCCATTGTTTTCCCTGCGGGACTGACCCCTTGCCTGCTGAAACATCGCGATGGAAGAGGTCCTGTCACTGAAGGGGCCGGCATGATTTTCAAGCGCAGTGTTGCCCTCTTCAAGGCGGCAGTGAGGGCCTCCGTTCCGGCAGTGTTCTTGTATAAGAAAGGAGCGGGAGTGCTGACCACCGCTCCAGCACGGAATCCCCTAGCAGTCGACAAAGTCCAGATCGTTCCACCTGCGATCGGGGCTCAAGGTAGCCTGGGCCAGCCGGGCTTAGCTTTCTGCCCGACTGAGTTTCCGAAGCTTTTCTGGGCAAGCCGCTCTGTGCCTCAGGCCGCTGCTTCTGGGTTAGTTAGCTTTCTGCAGTCCGCCGTCTCTGCCAATGCCAATGACCGCCCTCTCAGCCCAGGTTTGGAGAACATAGCGGTCAATGAGGTTCTTCTCACAGGTGATTGGCAGGTTGACTCGCAATGGGCTTGGAAGCGGCAACGGCACATCAACTGCCTGGAGACAGAGGCCGCGGTGACGAAGCTTAGGGACATCGCTAGGGAGGGCCGGGATTCCAGACCGGTCCTGATCCTTGACTCCTCGTGTGCTAGAGGAGCGCTGGCCAAAGGACGTTCGTCCGCTAAGCTGCTAAGGCCAAGCCTTCGGAGGGCTGCTGCCATTAGTGTCGCCGGGGGAATCTTCCCAGCCTACCTCTATGGCCCCACGAGGTTGAATGTCTCCGATGACCCCACTCGTGACGTGCCGCTGCGCGAGCCGCACCCCGAATCTGCCCTTCGAGAGCTGAGTGAGGCCGCGACGGTTGAACTGTGCACGCTCTCAGGTGCCAACAAATCGCGCGCTAGATGGGTCCGGCTCTGTCTCCTGCTCGTGCCCGTTGGCTTCCCACGTGAAAAGCTCATAAAGAGCATCTGCTGCGACGACTGGAGAGGCTGCCCCCGGGCACCTCCAGCTAGCCTTTTCATGCCCGTTGGATCGGCTTTGCATCCAGCTGAAGCTTTCGCATCATGGGCCCTGCAAGGAGGAAAGACCGATGCGTTCACCATTGGAGAGCTCTTCGACCTCCTCCCTTGTGAAGGCAGAGATCGCTTCGGCGATAACGATGACTCTAAGCACTGGACCACCGGAGCCTATGCCCAAGGCCCCCTCTGTGGCCTCCGGGTTTCGTGTGCTAAATTTCCAAAGTCGACCGAGCTTGTCTGCAGTTTCGTCAGGTCTATTAGTCCAGGCTTCCCTTTCACCGCCGTTGCTTTGCTTCAGCAGGTTAAGGCTAGCCCCCATTCGGATCGAAATCACCCTGATGCTTCCTTCAACCTCATATGCCCCATTAGTCCTTTTAGTGGTGGTGAGGTTTGGGTGCAGTCTCCAGGTGGGTCCGTGTGTGAGGCCATCCGCGGGAAGCAACTTACAGGAGAGCTCTACGACGTTGCAAGCGGCCCGAAGGTTTTTGACAGTCGTAGAGTGCACTTCACCCGGCCGTGGACGGGGCTCCGCAAGGTTGCTGTTGCTTTCTGCGTTAAGGAGCCTCCTAAACGCCGGCCACACGAACAGCGCCGCCTCCGCGCTCTCGGGTTTAGGCTCCCTAAGAAGGATCACCGTGAGTGGTGCATTGCACACCGAGCCGAGTTTGATTTTGACTCTTCCCTCGGTTACCCAGGTGAGGGGCCTCTCCGCCTTGCCTTGTTCTGGACTTTTGTGTTCTTGGGCTGCTCCACCTGCCTGTCCGTCCTCTCTCCGAGGAACCCCGCCGACGTTGCTCGTGCGGCAAAGCGGTCCCCTCTTGGACTTCCCGCTGGAAGAGTCGTGCTCCCTAGAACGGGTTCTTACAGGGTTGATCTAGCCGCAGCTTTTTCGCAATGGCTCCTCGAGGTTGCTGGTTTCAGCCTGGACGCTCTGCTTTCTGCGAAGCCGCTCGATGCAGAGGCTATCAGCGACTGGGTTGTCCGGTATGGCCGTGATCTGTATGGTTCAGGACGGCCCTACTGGCACTATTCCGAGACAATCAACGCGGTGACGTCTCTGAAGCCGGTTTTGAGAAGACAGGTCCAAGCTGCATGGGATTTGGGCTTCGCTTGGCTCATTGAGGAACCGACATCTCATCACACGGCGATCCCAGCTGTCATCTTGATAGCTATCCTTTCCGCGAGCTTGGCTTGGGGCTGGACCCGGGAAGCTGGCTGCTTCGCTCTTGCCTTTGGTGGTTTGCTGCGAATCGGCGAGGTTATCCAGTGTAAACGTTCGTCATTAGTGCTGCCTAGTGACGTTTGTGACACGCAGAAATATATCTTGGTGCGTATCGAGGAGCCAAAGACGAGACATAAAGGGCCTCGCCATCAGACCGCTAAGGTTGAGGCCGCAGATCTTGTCAGCGTTACCGAACTTGCTTTCGAACATCTTCAACGAGGGGAGCTTTTGTGGCCCCTTTCTCCACAAACTCTGCGAAAGCGCCTGGATTCGATTCTCAAAAGGATCGGGGCATCTCCGGCCCCACACGGCGTCCGAGAATTGGATTTAGGTTCCTTCAGAGCTGGAGGAGCCACTTACATCCTGCAGCAGACCGAAGATTCCGAATTAGTTCGACGTCGAGGCAGGTGGGCCTCGGCCAAGGTCATGGAAGTTTATCTTCAGGAGATCTCAGCGAACACTTTTCTGCCGTCGCTGCCACGGCCGCAGAAAGACAAGCTCATGCAGATCGCTGGAGGTTTTACCGATATTCTCAGGCAGGCGTGGGCCTGGAAGAAGCAAGGCATTCAGAGCAACGTTTGGTACAATCTGTGGCCAGGAGGCTAGTTTGGACATGTGCGGATTTAATGGGGAATGACGGTCACCGAAATTTTCCACTGCTGATGGACCATTCCAGCAGCCGGCACATGTGCAGACTCCCGCCGGGCGCAAAAGTGCATCTCGAGTCACTGACAGTAGTGACGAGGGAGAAACGAGCTTACGGCGGTTTTCGGTTCAAGAACCCTCCCACCCGGCCCAAGGTCACCGAAATTTTCCACTGCTGATGGACCATTCCAGCAGCCGGCACATGTGCAGACTCCCGCCGGGCGCAAAAGTGCATCTCGAGTCACTAATTTGTAGAATTATTCCCCAGAATCATTCGGCGCGCGGATATTGAGTGGACATCTTGATGTTGGTGTTTGTCAGTTTTACTCAATCGCTCCCGGAAACCCATGCAGCAAAATGGAATGCCCTTATCCAGACAGCACTGCTTCTGACATGTTCTCGCCAGTACACGGTGCGCCAAGGAAGGAATTTCGAGACGAAGCGGCTGTCAACACGCCAGTCAGTCGTTCTTGTCTGTGATGTGTCAGGCTTCTCAAGATGAAGCTGGTGTTAGGAGTATAGATGGTGCGAGCATTCTCGTGGGTTGCAGACCCATATTTCATGTGCTCTACAACAGTACGTGCATTCAAGCAGCTTTGCTGATCAGGATGTCGAATCAGTGAATAGTGCTAAGCTCTTTGATTTGGGGCTTCCAGATGTTCATGGTCGTGACAGACTTCCTCCTGACGCGCTGGCAGGAAACTTTCCCGGACGGCAAAGATGCTCTGCCGGGAATGTTTTCGGCACGGTTCGATGGCGGGAAAATAGAGCACAAGTTCCGGCGTGTTCACGAGATCCTGAAGGCGCCGTCTTGAACATGACATGATCATGTCGTTGCTCGCTTGATCTGGCACGAAGTTTCCGCCACAAATGTTTGCGTCATGAGTGATGACCGACCTGCAAGGAGCACAACTTCCCGGTCGTGATGGTCGACGCCGATGTTGGCGACGACTTCGGCAAAGCAACAATGAAGTATCTGAACAAGATTCACAAAGAAAACGGTGTCTTGATATGTGTTTGCACAGATCATTACGCCGAGAAGACCAGGTCACCCTTCTGCTCTTTTGCAGAGTTACGGTTCGCCCAAGAGTACAGTCTGGATGTTCTCCCGTTGCAAGTGGCAGACGTCTTCCCCCCACGGCCGCCTGGCGGCCCGGATCATCCGTACGACAAGGAGTACGATGCAGAGGACTTGATCAAGATGGTCTTCAGACCCAACGTCGCCTACAAGGACGCTTGGATCAGGCCTTGTTCTAAGGCCTCAACAGTTGGAAGAGGCGTTAAGGGCTTGATGAATTTCATGAAACCCTCGGAGGCTCCACAGTCCCTTGTTAGAGAATCCTGCGCAACCCAGGACTGCCGCGAGCTAGATGAGATGCAGATTGCTCGGGTGATCGCAGACAAGCTGCTCAAGAAGAAGAGCCTCGCCATGGGAAGTTCGTTGTCCTTGCAAGGAAGGATCCCTAAATCCTAAGCAGTAAGCAACAGAGTCTTCAACAAAAAGCCAGAACTACCATGCAGCTACATCTTACCTTGAACCCCCTAAACCCTAAACCCTGACGCCCTAAAACCCTAAACCCTTAAAACCTTAAACCCCGGACCCCGCAACACGTTGCAAGTACAAGCACAGCCAAGGAAAGGCTCGGGACATGGATGAGGCTGGATTTTTTGGGGGGTCGGGGGGTGGGGCGGGGTAGGATTTAGGGTTTAGGGTGTCAGGGTGCAGGGTTTCGTCGGGTTTTGGAGTGATCTGAATGGGCTCTGCCAGGTCGAGTTCAGCGCTGAACATCGCTTGACCACTCCGCCTCCCACCCTGCACAGCTGAGGGTTTGGTACATCAGCTTTGATATAAGCTGCTTGTGCGTCCCGCCAGTAGGGAGTTCGGTGTTGGAGGGAACCCTTCACCGCGAGCACAGACAGTGCTGGGACTCTGTAAACAATGACAATACCACTGATAAATACTGATACTGCTATAATTTGTGTCTGCAGCACCGGCGTGAAGTGTGTACATTTGTGAAGACAGGCTCGCAGGGAGGTTACTGCATGAGGGCAGCGCTGCCGTCGCTGAAGGGACGCAGTGCAGGAGCAGGTGACTCGGCTTAGCCGGAGCCACCTTGAAACCAATCCATATTCGTGCATTACGAAGTACGCACGAGTTGAGTTACTGCCCGTTTGGGGCCCTCAAGCCAAAAACGCATTAAACATAGAAACCATAGAACCGCACCTAAACCTCGTTGAACCATCAGCGGCCTGACTGCGCTTCCGGGCCCTTTGCGTAGGCGGGCCGGGCAGTGCACATGTTGCAGGCCGGTTGATATGGGTTTTAGTAGGGTGGTTATGGATCTCAACCGCAATAAGGGTCGGGGTCTAGGATGCGGGGACGTACGAGCTGGGCCAGTGGGTTTCAGGTAGGGCATCCCCACATAGACTGTTTCCCTTTCAAGCTCTACTTAAGTCCTACTTAGAAATCCCCTTGATCATGATCCTTTGGCAGCGGTTTTCCCTAGCATCTACGTACCTTATTGTGAAGATTGATCGAACAAATAGCTCACAAAGCCGACTTGATCTGCGCGGCTCTTGCGTACTCTTTGAGTTTGTTACATTTTTGGACTGGGGCTTCTTCTGTATAAAGCTAAGAGCGAAGCCGCTGTCTGCAATCGAAATCCAAATGGGCTGAGAGAGAACGCACTCAAACTGCATTTTCAGCGGGTGAAACCGTTCAGTGGTGATGAAGATGAGATGGGTTTTGACGAGGTTGCTCGGACCCTCCCTTGCTTCAGTCTTTTCAAGACCGCCACAAGCTTCTTTAGAAGCAGGCCTCAAGGATCTCGATCAAGAACACCAGAGGCTGAAAAAACCCAGTGATCCTCGGAATCGGGGAGAAGGAGCTGCAGAAGGGATGGAGATTCCTTGGGTTGACGGCCGACGTGGAGGCTGTAAGCTGAAATCTTATGCCGAGCCTCCAGACTGTTGACCGATCCAGCGCAAAGTTGAGAAAAAGCGCAGTGCCCAAGGGTTCCCTTTAGAGGGCTCCTTAAAGGGCTCTATGAGGGATCTATAGTAGGGTTCTATGATATAGGGGCCTTAATGATTAGAATAGGGTAGTGGGGGTTCCTGATTATACGTTTACTTATACTTATATAGTATACTACACTCCCAACCCTATTCTATGTATTAAGGACCCTAGATTACCTCATGCCTACCGGAGACTTGGTCTCAGACCCTAACAGTGACAGGGAGCTTCGTGTGGCCAAGCGGGTTCCAGGTTTTTGAGGATCCTGGGACTTAGTACGTTGAGTTTAGGGTAAGATAAGAAGTACCCTAATCGGGCTGGTAAGTAATGATCAGTATACTCTCTTTTCCAAACCACTTTTGCTACGTCCAAGGATCAGGTAGGGCCGGTAGGGTGGAGGGTGTGCAACTAAGGGTATTAGGGTGCTTTGAGGGGCAGCTAATGCCATATTCCCGTGCAGGCACTACCAATGCAGAACCTACAGTCTTTATGGCTGAAGCCTTTGGTTTTTATCGGTCACTCTCTCAGGTTGGGAAAACCCTCAACCTTGACACAGCAAAGCCTTGCAGCCTAAGCCCTCTAAACACCACAAAGTTGTTCAGACAACTTCATACAACCCTACAAGTTCTTCCAATTCCAGCACCTTATCTCGCAGGGATCCTTAGGGGTGTAGGGGGAGGGGGGGTAGGGGGCCTTAAGGCCCATAATAAGGACTAATAAGGCCTAGTTAAGGAAATATAGTCCCCTACACCCCTCCCCCCTACACCCCTAAGGATCCCTATGATTGCAGGGCCCTTGGACTCCTTTGGTCTGAGGACCTGGAGCTTTCCTCTGTGAGTGGGGTTCGGGATCTAGGGTTTAGGATTGATGGGCAGGGTTGCATTAGAATAGATTATATGAGGTTAGGTTAGATATATCATAAAGTATCATAACTTATTTTCATGCTTATATATGTAGTACATCTTGCCATCTGTAACAATCAAAAGCTGTATATACATATATTTCTATATGTATATATATATAGAGCACACACATGGCACAAACATAAATAGAGATAAGTAAATAAAGAAATAGATGAATATATGTATATATATATATATATATATGTAGTTTGTGTATACAGAAGGACCCCGCCAAACTAGTAACGTACCGGAGTCCTACAACTCTTAGCTTCTCGGAACCTTACACGACGTCGCGCTTCGCCCAGCTGGACTACATATTGATCAATACAAAGTGGAAGAATGCGGTGACCAATGCTGAGTCTAGTTGCTGTCACTCAATTACAACGGACCACAAACTTTTATTTGCTACGTTGCGTGTAAAACTTGCGAAGGCGCGATATGCGCAACCCAAGAATCGCACAAAATATAGACCCCCCACGCAAAATCAGATAGATAGCTACAACACTCAAATTTCGGAGCTGATTGCAAAAAGCGAACTCCAGTGTACAGACGACCCACTAAAGATATGGGCCGACATACTTCATGAAGCGGCTACTAATGCATTCACGTTAATTCCTCCAGAGCAAAGAAAACCATATATTTCAGCAGAGGCTTGGGACCTTCTATGTAAGAAACAACAACACAATCAAGCAGGGAACATACAAAGTGCAAGGGAACTCGAAAAGCAACTGAGGAAGCAAATCCGATGTGACAAAAGAAAGAATATGCTGCAACAGCTGGAAGAGATGGACGAGCAAGGGTATAAATGGAAAGGCATAAAACAAATGAGGAAAAAGTTCTTCCCAAGGCACACAAAATTCAAAGATAAGACAGGCAACCCCATTCCAGAAAGCAGCTTCCCTGTTGCGGCAGCAGAGTACTTAACGAATGTGCAATGGAAAAAGCCGGAAACTGCTCAAGAACCCAAGACTGCTCCTCTTTCTGATGTTGGGGCAACAGTTAACCAATCTGCTTTTGAGCTTGACGAGTTCAATGCTGTGATCAAGCGGTTGAAATGCAACAAGAGTCCCGGGCCGGATGAGGTTACTACTGAGCTGGTAAAATGGTTGAACAACGACAATAGGACAAAGCTACTAATTCATTTCAACGACATACTGCTTCATGGCAATTACCCGGAATCTCTCAATCTGTCCAACATCGCGTCCATTTATAAAAAAGGAGATCCCGCGAAATTGGAAAATTATCGGCCAATAGCTCTTTTACAGACCTTCTACAAAATGTTGGCAGCTCTTGTCAAGAACCGTTTAGAACCTGCACTGGAGCCGTGGATGTCAAAAACCCAGTTTGGCTTCCGAAAGAAAAAATCTACATCGCAAGCCTTATTTATCGCAAGAAGACTTATGGATATGGCAGAAAGGCAAGGTACCAACTTAACGCTTGTACTATTAGACTGGGAAAAGGCTTTTGACAAAGTAGACCAAGACAAACTCATCGAAGTACTAACCCGGTTAAGTATACCGCAACGTATCATCGGCATTGTCCAGAACATTTATGAAAATGCAAAATTTAGAGTTGTAAAAGGCCACATCCGCTCCAACTATCAGACGCAAAATTCAGGAATACGACAGGGATGTCCATTATCACCATACCTTTTTGGAGTTCTAATGACGGCAGTCTTCCAGGACATCAAATCAGTTCTGTGCACACCAAAGCAAAGACAACCTATACCAGGCATTAGCTATGCAGAAGTTCTTTATGCCGACGACACACTATTGTTTGGAACGCACACCCACACGATAAACAAGTTGCTGCGACAAATACAAGAAGAGTCAGCTAGATATAATATGAAACTTAATTTCGAAAAATGTATCAATCTTACTATCAATCGCAAGCAGTCCTCTATCAAATTTATGGATGGGTCGGCCGTTCCGAGAAAAACCCAGGCAAAATATCTTGGAGCAACTCTAACAGACGCCGTTGACAACCACCAAGAAGTTACGCGTAGAATCGGGGAAGCCACAGCCGTCGCCAAACAACTAGGTTTGTTCTGGTCAAAAGCCCGTACAACAATTAAATGGAAACTACGAGTGATGGAATCCATTGTCTTCAACAAGTTGGTATACGGCTTAGAAACTATACAACTTACGCGTCGTGAACAAGACCAAATCGACGCTTTTCAACTAAAAATGTTCCGGCGTGTGCTCAATATACCACCTACCCATATCGACAGAAGCTGGACAAACCAAAGAGTTGTGGACACTCTGTGGCACATGCATAAATTCAATCACGTTAAACTATCAGTTAAATGGAAGCAGAAAAAACTTACCTTATTAGGCCATATCCTGAGGGCACCACATAGTGACCCAATGCGGGAAATACTGTTTCAACCGGGAAAGAACATTCCTAGAAGCGAGCATGTGCGTAGGGTCGGCAAACCGAGAGCAAACTGGCTTCTAGACACATTCGTAGAAGCATATGCATTTTTACATCCTCAAGCACGCTTCGATGAAACCGCCCCTGCGCTTTGGAACGAAATAGCAGACACGGCCATGCGCCGCGAACCCCCTTTTAAAACAAAGGTCAACGAAGCCTGAAGGAGAGCCGGAGAGCCACCTGATAATGCGATATTACGATTAACAAATCAACGAAGATTTCACCGAAGATGTCATCGAATATGTCATCGAATATGTCGTCGCTAAGCCTACGGAATCATTTCAGTGAGAAGGTTTTTGCGATTATCACCGAAAGTGTCACCGAATATGTCATCGAATATGTCGCCGACGAAGTGACATTGTAAAGGATTATAGTCAATGATAATGCAAAACGACCGTTATCTATGATCCCTAAACCCTATCTTACCCTATCCAACTTTTCATGAGCCACAACTCCAATATCCCTGTACACAAGCGCTTGTGGGACCCTTCAGTCTACTTGCTCGATGCGGCAGTGGTGTAGCCAAAGTTTTCCCATCTTTTGTGCAGATCTCCGCAGATCTCCTCAGCCTCTGATAACAGATGGCTGCAATCCTTTCCCGAAGTTGAGCAACGCTCAGCGCCTTGTGGAGCTGCGTATCAGTGAGTGAGTTTATGTATACACACAGTGTGGTTTATGTGAGTATATGCTATGTTGCATTATGCCAGCTGAGCCATCGACTTCTGAGCATTTTCAGCGGTCGCCAGCTTCGGCAACAAGACCCGTGCGCAATTCAGGATTGGGAACAATGGTTTTAGAGTTTAGAGTTTTAGGGTTTAGGGTATTAGGGTTTAGGTTTTGGTGTTTAGTGTTTAGGTTTTAATTAGGGTTTAGGGCCGTGACCGTTCAGCAGCAGCGAATCGTTCTAGCTGTACAGTACCAGGACCGAAGCAGCGGTGTTTCGATGAGCCTAATTTCTCCAAACTCGCAGCATGGGGTTCAATTCGTCGTGTTCGGAGGAGCACATGAATATACATGAAGTATCTGCTGAATTATCAACGCTGTTTGATAGCGTTTTGAAGCACTCGATTGGCTCGAAGTCTCCAGGCAGGCATCTTGGGCATGGGTGGTAGCTGTTCTTGGCGTGTCCGTGTTTACGTCGTGGATCCGTGATCTCATGAGCGATTTCCCCCTCGCCGCATTCTTCCGAAAATTGGACACCGATGAGGCAGGAATGGGGATTCACTCGAGTCGGGTTTGCAAGCGTCACTTCCCATCACCCGATTCATGCATATGCTTGCTTGTGGAGTTCGGCCACTGTGTGTAATATACGGACCTACATAATTTCCAATACTATTTTGAGGGCTCATAAGGGCTCTTTTTTTGCTTATGATCATCGTATAATAGACCCCCAAACCCTTTTCTACTTATTAAGGCCCCTATGTGAAGCTGGCCGAATCACAATGTCGAGACGACCTGACAGGAGTGGCCCAGACACGTGGGCATGGAGGCTGCTGAAGTTTCTACGTTTGTTCAGTGCAGCTGGTGCCGCTCAAGACGACTTGTTTCGTGATGCGTGTTAGTATGTTAGACACGCTAGAGCGATTGCAAGATTGATGGACCTTCGGCAATGTTGCTCGCATGTCTGCAAGTTTCATACGCCATGGTGTTCCAAGGTTTTTTCCAGTTTCTTTCTAGCTGATTCTAGCTGTTTCAACAGCGTTGCCGGTCTCCTCTTCACTGGACTGAATTGCATTGCTCGCAGGTCCTCAAGGATTGCAAGACTGCCGATGATTTAAAGGATTTCTTCCGGAAGCAGCGCAAGCCCAATTTCCTCGTGTTTCGCAAAAGACGGAAAGACGGTGTGTATGAGTTTTGGACCATCAACGAGGAGGACGACACCATTCCTGATGCAGCCGTCCTTGACGCTCTGGTTCCCGTCAGCGTTCACCACAAGGCCGGGCATCCTTGCAAACGTCCATCTCTAGGCCCATGTTCTCAAGAGCTCTTTCGGGTGGGCCAGGTCATAAACGTAAAAGAAGAGCTGGAGAAGGCGACTCGGCAGGAATGTCGACAAAAACAAAGCTGTTGTGAGAGGTTTGCGTGGCAGTGGATGGTGGAGTGTTGTCAATGCAGTTTGCTTAGCACGTCAGTGGAGTCGAAGCTTTGTGCCGCGTAGACAACTGTCCTGTAGGTCTTCTGATAAGGATGTGTTGGCAGTGATGCAAGGAGCCTTTCAGCAATTTGAGCCTCCAGAAGGGAACCGATGGAAGATCATCTCCAGATGGACGGTTGGTCGACTTCTTCCAGGCTCTTGTAGGGGTTCTGTTCCGGAGCGGTCAGGGTTCCTCTATTTCAAGCCGTTTTTTGTTGAACGTGGCATGTTGTTCTCAGCTCCAGGACCCGGAGTGTTACTTGAAGGGGGCCTCCTTTGAGGTTGATGATGCTGATGGCGATCCCGAGAAGTCTCAGTATTCCGTTTTGAGGGATGAGTGCAGCAACATGACGAGAGTGCTCCGCCACAACAAGTCGAACATCGATGTTTACACCGATGCAGTTGACTTGAGAAGCAGCTGCATGGCTTGTAATTCCACGGACGGCTGCCGCTGTTTCAAGGTCCTGTTCCTTTACACGAAGAAGCGTGCTTTTGACTGCATCACATCTGCTGATCAGAAGACATTTCACGAATTGTGGTGTGCATGGCGTAGCCACTTCGGAGACGGCGTGTATACCAGCCAATACGCCCCGGAACACTTCGGCAGCAAATTGCGTGTGGCCTTGAACATGTATGGCGGTTGTGACACGGATCCTTTCTCTGACGAGCCCCTCTGTTGCCTTCCTAAATGGGAGGACATCCGCACTCTACAGGCTGTAGAGGCTGTTGCCTTTTGCATTCCGATCCTGGTCCCACAAGAGCGGCTGCGTAATTACAAGGACACAGATCCCACAGGACAGTTCCTACCAGGCCGCAACCGCAAAGGTGTCAAGCAGCACGAAGGGCGAGATATATGGATTATTGCTCCAGACAACGAAGGCAGTTATAATGTGACCGCAGATAGAAGGGCACGTCTGGAGCTCTTGAAGATGCGTCAAAACAATCCAAAGGCTTCACTCGTTTCCAGGATGCAAGCTTTCGCCGATGCTGCTTTGATGCTCTTGATGCAGGGCGACTTGGCCGAGGCCAGGGATTTCTTCAAGGAAGCGTTGCAGATACAGAAATCCATCAGGCAGACCGACTTCGGGCCGAGCCTGGTTCAGGCCTATGCCCGTTGTCTGCGGCAGCAAGACACCTCTGAAAGCAAGGCAGAGGCCAAGAAGCTCTTGGAAGAATACGGTTTTATGATCCAAGACGATTTCGGCTCAAAGGGTGAGGTCGAGTTGTGCGAGGAAGAGGCAGGCAAGCAGGAAGACTTTCAGCCAGGCGGGTGTCTCTTCTTTTGATTGGGGGCAGCCTTAAACCGCAAACCCTAAGCCTTCGACATTACATGTGACGGGGTTGCAAGCATTTTGGCATCGGATGACACGAAGCTATCGACCATGTCTGTTGTGGCAAGAGGGAGCGGAGCAATCTCGTCAAACGACAGTTGCGGATTTAAATACAGACATCGCAACACAAGCGAAGTGTCTTCTGTGCAACATCGCACCAGCAGACATGTCTTTGCGCATGGGTCGACCTGTGGGAGCTGCTGAGAATCGCGGGCATGCATGTGCTACTCCAGCAGCTAAGATGAATCGTGCTTGCAGGCATGAAGCTCCGGAGCATTCAGGACGACAGCGACAGCGACGTGAATTGGTCTGGCTGTCCTGGCAGACGTCTGAGCTTCAACATCGGAAAAGCCCTCTAGCTGCTATTGGCATTTTCGGAGTTCATGATTTCCCAAGCCTAATCGTCCACCGCAGCGGTCAAACCATACCGCCCGGCTGACGAGCTGTCGCAGCAGCTTGCCCCTTCAGGTCTTCAGCATCAAGGAGATCCGCGGCAGCTTTTTCCGGGCAACGGAGAGGTTTCTCGCTTTAACTAACAGAGCCTTAGGAAAATGTCGCATCAACTTGTCAGATTCTGCCACGAAGGCTCGGCCACAGTCAGTTTTGCCCCGGTGTTATTTAAACCATAGACTGAGCAGGGAGGCTCGGAACTACGGCGATGGAGTTGCAGGAAGCTGAGAGAAGCTGCGAGCTGCAAACAGCTGCCAAGAGGAGGCTGTGAGGCTGTGAGACCAGGATTGCTCAAGACATGATGCACACAAGGAATAGCCCATCACCATAATTGACGACCACTCACATTTTTGCGTCAGATCTTGGCAAGTCTGACTTGGAGTGCCTCGCTGTCAACCGCAATGCTTCACAACGTGACTAGAACCAAGTCCCGAATGTCAGCACCAAATGTGATAGCGCAACACCAGGACAACCGAAAACCACATAACAAGACGCTAAGGCCCAAAGCCAAACTCCATCTAAACTCTGAACCTGGAAAGCGCGACTCGAAGCCCTAACCGTAACCCAAACAACAACAGTACGACGGTACGACAGTGCGAAAGCAAGACTAGATTCCAGACACCCAACCCAAATCCCACGGTAAAACGCTAGCATGTGCAGGCGTCAGACTCAGCATTCGCGTGACCCAGGCTTGCTCACACCTGGGATGCACAAAACCTGGCACACATTCGCAACACGACCCGAAAGTGCCGACTTTCGCCAGATATATCCTTAGCCTACCGGTGTAGCGACGCACTCAACGGGATCCGTGCCTCACTTGTTTCGCCAGAATCGGGTTCCAGGCGTAGTGCACCAGTATAAATGACAAATTTCGGCCACACCTCGCTTCGCAGCCCCAGTCGAGTCCCTTCGCAGCTTCTGCTGTCAAACCGTGCAGGATAAAGCAACAACAAGTCTCGACTTGTCGAGCCGGCTGACGGCTTGAGGTATTCTAGGAGCAGACAAGCTGCTCAGAAGCCTTAAACCCAAACCCAAGCACAGTCAGGAACTTGTGGGCGCCACTTAGCGCATTCCAAGATGAGGGTGTTGGGGTACTCGACTCAGATTCTCCGATCCGCTTTGCAGTGGAGGCCAGTCTTTGTCCAGAGCACATGTTCAGGCGTCTGCGAAAAGTGGCGGCAGTGAGGGAGGAACGGCCTCATCTCAGGACACCATGTGTGGGTACTTCAAGACCTAGCATCCGGTGATCATGTAGAGTTTTGGGTCATGCACTCGGTACCGAGCTGGGGTTAGAATGTTTGACAGCCTACAGTGACTATGATCCTGACGGCCTGCACTCCATGAAGACCTGCAGAATCCTTGAAAGCCTGGTTGCCTCGTTATAATTTTGACCCTGCTGTGCCGAGACCCGACTTGCCTGTTCATGGTCTACTAGGGGTTAGTACTCAAGGGTTCGAAGGGCTGATAGATCCCTGTTTCTCGAATCTTGCTCCTTTGCTGTTGCCACCTCTCCTCTGTTCCCGACTTGGCTTTCATGTTTCTGGCTTCAGTTCCCCGACCTTCCCAACACCACCGCAGCATCCCAAACCTGACTTCAAGCTTCGTCGCCGACAGCCCAAGCCCTGGACCTCAGCACGCGAAAGTTTGAGAAGTTCAAGACCCAAACCGTGAACTCTAAAACCCTAACCCTGGCCTTGAATCCTTCTGCCTGCACCCTAAAGCCTAGATGTGCAAGAAGCGGTAAATGCCGAACCCAGGATGCTGCGCCTGTCGGCGGCACTCAGCCGCAGGGCCCTGCCGGGCGAGCATTCCGGAAGAAGGGCCAGCAGGCGCTGTGGACATGGGGAGGCTTTCTACACAATGGTTATTGTAAACGAGTGCAGTTCAATTCGTTGGGGAACCCCAGAAGGATCACTAATTTGTAGAATTATTCCGGGCTTCAGGGATCAGAAAGACACAGAACCACTCGGCTCGTGGATGTTGAATCGACATCTTCATGTTTGCGTCAACTTGAACTTTCAGTTTCTCCAGATGAAGCTTGTGTTTAGGAGTATGGATGGTGCGATGATTTTCATGGGTTGCAGACCCATATCTCATGTGCTCTACAACAGCTCGTGCACACAAGCAGCTGGCCTGATCAGGATGTCGTATCAGTGAGTGATGTCAGGCTCTTTCACGCCAGGCATTCAAGTATTCATGGTTGTGACAGACTTGCTCTTGTGGCGCTGGCAGGAGACGTTCCCGGACGGCAAAGATGCTGTGCCGGGATTGTTCTCGGCACGGTTCAATGACGAGAACAAGGAAACAGAGCACAAGTTCCGGCGTGTGTACGAGATCCTGAAGGCACTGACTTTCCTGAAAATGAGCATGTCCATGTTGTTGCTTGTTGTGTTCTTGCGAGACGTTTGCATGGGAAGCATTCGCAAAATGAGTAGCGAGAAACCTGGCAGGGGCACAACTTTCCTGTCCTGATGGTCGCCGCAAAAGCTGGCGACGACTTCGGTAAGTTGACAACGAGATATTTGAGCCAGATTGAAGAGAATCAGGGTGTGCTCATTTGTGTTTGTACGAAACACTATGCTGAGATTACCAGTTCACCCTTCAGCTCTTACCACGAATTAAAGTATGCACAAGAGTATCAGTTAGATGTTCTCCCGCTGAAAGTGGAAGACGTCTACCCTCCAGAACCTCCCAGTGGAAAAGATCATCTTTACGACAAGGACGGTGATGCAAAGGCCACAATCAAGATGGTCTTCAAACCCAACGTTGTCTTCGAGGACTCTTCGATCTCGCTAAGAAGAGTTTCCATCCTTTCCAAGACAGAGAGGATTCATTTGAGGGTGTGAATCAGAAGCCTGATCACAGATGCTTGGGCATCCCAGGACTGCCGCGATCTAGATGAGATGCAGATTGCTCGGAAGATCGCAGACAAGTTGCTCAAGAAGAAGACGAGCCTCGCCATGAATCGTTCGTTGTCCTTGCAAGGATCCCTAAGCCCTAATACTGTGCCCTTAAACCCTAAACCCTAATCCCGAAAATCCTAAATCCCTAAACCCTAAAACCCGAAACCCTAAAACCACAGAAACTCGTCTTACCTGCAGGCCTCGCGACATGTCGCAGCCGATGCAAGGCTCTGGTCGTGGATGAGAAGAAGGCTCGCTGGATCTCGGGCAGGGGGGGTTGGAACCATAACGCCACAGGGGTTTCTGGGTTTAGGGTTTTGGATTTAGGGTTTAGAGTTTTGAGGGTTTCAGGGTGCAGGGCGCAGGGTTTCGTGGGTTTTGGAGTGAATGGGCTTTGCCAGGTCGAGTTCAGCGCTGGAAGTCACTTGACCACTCCGCCTCCCGCCCTGCACAGCTGCGGGTTTCGTACATCAGCTTTGATACAAGCTGCTTTTGCGTCCCGCTAGTAGGGAGTTCGGTGTTTCACGGAACCTTTCGCCTGGAGCCTCAGACAATCCTGGGACTCTGTAAATCACCATCACATCAATAACAAAAACGAGTGTCTGCAGCACTGAAGTCAAGTTTTTGCATGTGTGAAGACAAGCTCACAGGGAGGTTACTGCAATGAGGGCAGCGCTGCAGACGCTGAAGGGACGCAGCACAGAAGCAGGTGATTCGGCTTAGCAGGAGCCACCTTGAAACCAATCCATATTTATTAGTGTGCTACGAAGTACGCACGAGTTGAGTCTACAGCCCATGTGGGGCCCTCAAGAAATGCCGTAAACATAGGACTCGCTTTCGGGCAGCCTGGGATTTCCTGAATGTAGGCGGGGCAGGCACTGCGCATTGTGCAGGCGGGTTGATAGGGGTTTGAGTAGGGTGGTTTTGGATCTCAACAGCAATAATACAAGCCCAGAGAGCCCAATACCCCTTAATTAAGGAATATAGCTTAACCCATAATATGAGGCCCTATATAATTTGAGCCATATTCCTTAAGTAAGGGGTATGGGGCTCTCTGGGAGGGTTGGGGTCTAGGATGCTGGACTTAGTTAAGAGCCAGGCCGTTAGGGTTTCAAGCAGGGCATCCCCGCACAGAGTGTTTTCCTTTCAAGCTTTAGCCCTACTTAGAAGGCTCCTTGATTTTTGATCCTTTGGCAGCAGTTTTTCTTAGCGTCGACTTTTCTGGCAAGTTTTTTCGAACAGATAGTTCGCAAAGCTGACCTGATCCTTGCGGCTCTTGCGTACTCTTCGAGTTTGTTGCATTCTGGGGCTGGGGCTTCCTTTATACAAAGCTACGAGCGATCCCACTGCCTGCAATCGAAATCCGCATGGGCTGAGAGAGACGCACTCAAAACGGTTTTTCAGCGGGTGAAACCCCTCGGTGTCGATGAAGATGAGATGGGTTTGCTTGTTTCACAAAGCGCCACAAGCTTCTTTGGAAGCAGGCCTCAAGGATCTCGATCAAGAACACAAGAGGCTGAATACCCAGTGATCGTCGGAATCGGGGAGAAGGAGCTGCAGAAGTCATGGAGATTCCTTGGGTTGACGGCCGACGTGGAGGCTGAAAGCTGAAAGCTTATGCCGAGCCTCTAGACTCTTGACCGATCCAGTGCAAAGTTGAGAAAAAGCGCGGTGCCCAAATGTTCCCTTTAGAGGGCCCCTTAAACGGCTTTATAAGGGATCAATAGTAGGGTTCTATGATATAGGGGCCTTAATGATTAGAATAGGGTAGTGGGGGTTCCTTATTATACTTATAGTACACTACACTCCCAGCCCTGTTCTATTTATTTTGGACCCTATATTACCTCATGCCTACCGGCGAGTTGGTCTCAGACCCTAACAGTGACCTTTTGTTAGTAGGGAATGGAAGAATGGTAGTAATAGTGGTTATAATTGTACCCCATTCCTCCATTCCCTACTAACCAAAGGTAAGAACAGTGACAGGGAGCTTCGTGCTGCCAACCGCATTGCGGAGTTTTGCGGCCCTGTGTTCGAGACGGCCTGTTGGAAGAAACTAATATAGGGGCCTAAATAAAAGGGTTCTATAAGGGCTACTATAGTGGATCTATGTTGGAAGAACTATCCTGAAAGTTTCACGGTGAGGATGGGTCATACTGTTGATGGACAAAATCCTGCATGACCCTAAGGACTCTAAACTATGGGAACTATGGTATATTCCTTATATTGAGTGATGCAGGATTTTGTCCATCAGCAGTAGTGTATGGAGAAGCCTTGTAGCAAACAGTCTTTTCATGGCCGTCTGGCGCCAGCCTTGCCAGAACGATGATTTCTTACACACGTGCTCAGAACTCCTACTTTTAGAGTTTAGGGTTTAAGGGTTTAGGGGCTGAGGGTTCAGGGTTTAGGGTTCAGGGTTTAGGGTTCAGGGTTTAGGGTTTAAGGTCTACGGTTTTGAGCGATTTTACTTTGGTTGCCTTTTCAGTCCGTTCCCTCTGCAAGCCGTGGCTGTTGACGACTGGCTAAGGCCGTAAACCCTGAACACCAGCGTCGCCGTTTGCCAATTCCTCTGCATGCAGGGGTTGCGGTTTAGGGGGGGGCTTTGAATCTTGCCCCTAAACAAACTCTTAAACGCCGGCGCTCAAAACCATGAACTCCTGAATGCAGAACTCTATGCCCCAGCACTCACAAAGATTGGCTGTCTTAACTTCAGACATCTTGGCACTCTAGATCACCCCGTCGCAGTATGCTTATACTCGTCCCATTTTTGGGCCTCTTTTGGGAAATTGGCAGTCGGGAAAGTACCCTCATTAAGAGGATATTGGCTGCAGCCTTGAGGTGTGGCGGTTTAGGGTTCAGGGGTTTTCCGAGGTTCCGTGAAATTCGAACTCGAGGCGTTCAAACCTAACCCTGAACTTTACAGGGCCCTAAACCCTGAACCCTGATCCTCTCGACCATGATTCCCCAAACCCCAAATCCTACTAAACCCTACTAAACCCCACTAAATCCTACTAAACCACAAACCCACAAACCTTAGACCCTAAGCCCCAAACCATGATTCTTCCCTGGCGGCCGGCGGTGCTGCTGCTCGCTCCCCTGGCATCGGCGCTGCGCGATTTGGGTCCCAAGGATCACTGCTTGGAGAAGGCGCGGAACCAGGCGTCGCCCCAAGGGGCTAAGGCTCTAAGGAACCTCGAAGAAGAGGGTGCGGTACTTCCTACTGGTAGCACGGACCCTGGGTTTGCACAATCATTTGGGTCAGGGGGCCCAGGAGCCTAAAGGTGGGATGTGAGGGCTGTAGAGGCAGTTGTAGCATACGTACCGGTGCAGTCAGTACCGGTCAAGTCTCATGGTGGTTTAGGAGCATTGTATGTGCAAGCAAGCGGCAGTAGCAGTACGGTACAGTCAGCAGAGTAGCACGAGTACATCTCAGAGTAAGTCGCTTTCGGGTTGAGGTTTTCGGCTGAGGAGTGCAAGGAACCTCAACTCAACGAGGGTGTTGGGGGTCTAGGATGATTATGGTCGTAGGCTGCTTATGTTACCCAGTGATAGCCCTTTGGCTTCTTGGTCTTGGTGTGCCGGGTTCCTCAATCGAACTACCCGGCAAGAAGCCGGATCTCTCGAAACCCTTTGCCCGAAACTCTGCTTGGAGCAGCGTGGGACCTTAGTAAGGTCAGAAGTGTTTGAATTGGGAAAATAGGGAAGTACATGTGTTGCTACCTCAAAACGCCTCAATTATAACCCCCACTTACTAAGTCTCACGATCTTTTAAGTTTGGGGGGGCCCTTTACCCGAGCCTCGGGCTTCGGGCTCTGTGACGTTCTGCCCTACACCTGGACTCAAACGTAGTGCTCTCTATACTACGCTCCCCGAAATGCTACTCCAATCATAATGCTGTACCTATTAGGATCTACAAGCCCCTATTGAATTCAAATGTCCAAATCCCGTGGCCTGCTCCGAGGCGAAAAAGCAAAACCTCGCCTTAAAACACCAAGCCCCAACGACCCAACGCACCCTAAACTCCTGCACCCTCAATCTTGGAACCCTAGACGCTAAGCCCTCATGAGGTTAAGGGGGTCAAAGATGGCGTCTACGGTCGAGCCTTGGCCGTCGAAGCTTCGGAGAACGGAGGAAGTATCATCCCGGAATGAAATCAAAGGATAATTGTTTCGGGCGGAGGACCGTGGAGGAGTCTACCGGGGAAAGGAGTCTTGGACAGTGGACAGGTTTGTTGTAAGTGAACAACACAGAGTGCGACCAACTTTGGGACCGGCGCAGCTTCCTGAGGGTTTTGCAGGCTTTCTATCGGGCTTGTAGAGGGCTCTGTGGGGAATGAGAAGTTTATAACAGAATAGGGTTCGGGGGGGTATGGTCTAGCAGCATATAAGGAAAGGGGCCCAAAGGGCTCACTAGTGTTTTGCTGCTATAGTGGATTTGGGTGTACCCCGAGATGTTACAACGGGGTTTTGCAGGGGTTTATTGTTTTAGTGTTCAGGGTGTATAGGGTTTAGTATTTGGGGCTTGGGCTTAGCAAGCCAATCATTCGGGAATCATCCTTAGCTTACAGCAGGCATCTTGCGATGACATGAGGAACATTTCGTACTTAAAGGCTCTTGGGCTGTCTTGGCAGTAGGGTTTGTGAGCCTAAAGATATTTAGGGTGATTCTACTCTCTGAGGTGCAGGAAAAGAGCAGCATGACATGTTTGTTCAGCGCTGAAGGTTTTGGTCCCTCGAGGCTGTTTGGTTCTGGTGGCAATTAGTCTTGGATTTGGACTCCACCTGCCTGCCGGGTAGTCTGGAGCGACGGCTCCCTTCTACCCCGGGTCAGCTGCTGAGCCAGGCCGTAGTAAGATAGGGAAAGGGGCTGAACGGCTCCAGCCGACGAAGTCTGCTCACCGCATCCCTCCTTTGTCGTAGCTACGTTCTTCTGCGCTAGTGAGCTTGGTTTCATCCTTCTGGTTGATGATATAAATCCTGCATTACCCATAATAAGGGCTATACAAAATTTCCCATCGTTTAGGGTCCTTAAGGTCATGCAATGCAGGATTTGTATCATCAACCATAGTTTGTTAGTTAGTTTCGCCGTGTCTTTAGGGACCAAGAGATGCTGATGCAGTCGACCAGGCCCCCACACACCAAAAGTTTGATCCCTTAATGGGGGTTCCTATAAAGTACCCTTAGTAGTCTAGGGCCCCAAATTAGGGGATCTGGTGGCAAAGCTTGGCGGTTCTTAGTGCTGAGTGTTG